AAAGTTCAGATAAAAGATAAGTGTGACTCGGAACTGCTACCTGGGATCCTGCTGACTGGGGGCATCACTTACTGCAGGTAAGCTGTTGTACAGGTTCCATCTGACTGGGGGCATCGCTCACTGCAGGTAAGCTGTTGTACAGGTTCCATCTCTAACGGATCTATCGTGGTGGATGGGGAGAGTAACACTTCCTAAAGCGAGTTGAGACCTAAGTATTCTGTTTTATCAACCCACTGCTAAGTAAGACGTTATATAGTAAATTTATTACACTTTGAACAGCACAGCCGGACTAACTAACACCTATCCCCGAGCTTACTGTTCTATTGCGTGACAACAAGGCATCCCTATGTGATAGACACACTATATAAACACTGTGTTACACTTTGTTACCATTGTTGTTTATCTGTTAATTGTGATCGGTGATGTAGGACCTCAACTTCAGAAGTGTAGTGTGGACTATGACTTCATACACGATCTCACGTTTGTATCAACAGTATCACCTATGTAGTTAACATACCACCTAGATTTTGTTAAGACCGATAACGTGGAGGGCGGAACCTGTGTGTAATTGTAAAGGGCAGTGTCACCTAGAACTTAGAAGATACGAACTTGTGTTTAGATATATATATATATATATATATATATATATGACAGTATGATCTAAGTATTTAAGATAAGACCTCCTGTTTGCCAAAACTTGAAGAGAAAGATGGTTTCCATGTAATATCTTAATAGTTATAACAGAGATGTCATTAATTACTTTATTTCACCGAACTAAACAGCTTAATGACGTTTATTCAAATGCTGGTCAGTGACGATGATGTCAATCATAAGGACCAGTCACAGGTGGTCATGTCCGCCATAAGGACCAGTCACAGGTGGTCATGTCAGTCATATCATATCACTACAGTCGGATCATATCAATACAGAGTAAGATGAGGTATAGCACGCACAATTCACGGGACTAAACTGTAGAAAACATTGCTTGTTGGCTGCGTGGCGCTTAATTGACGTTAGTGAGAACTGTGCAGTAAGCGAGGAATTGGCACGGCACATAGGTCAGGTCGTCTTGATTCCATCTCATTAGTAGAAACGCTACTTCCAGGAGCTAATTCTTCCAATTTTGACTTACAGAATGGCATCATGCACACAGGACATTCTACTAAACATGAAAAACATGTCTCTGGAGCTGGTGAAAACGAGGCTGGAGGAGATAGAGACCGCCGAGCTTCCCTACAAGGTCCCGACGTTCATCTTCCTGGCGTCTCTTCTAATCTGCGGCATCCCCGGTAACATTATCGTTTGCTTTGTCTACAAGTTCAACTTCCCGTCCGGACCATCCAAGAGTTTTATTCTGGGTCTTGCGTTGTTTGACCTACAAGTTTGCTTTATTGGTGTGCCGTTTGAAATCGTTGATCTCAAAACTGATTATTTTCTCAATATCCCCTCGTTATGTAAAATAGTGAGATTCAGTAACACCCTGGCCTCCGCGGCTTCCGTGCTGACATTGCTCGTGATCGCCGTCTATCGCTACAAGAAAATCTGCCTTCCCTTCAAGAAGCAAATAACAATGAAAGAAGTTCGATATGCTTTTGCTGGAGTGGGAATATCTGCTTTATTCATTTCTTGGCCAGCACTGGTTTTCTACGGCAACCAAACAAAACTGATTGGCGGTTACGAGACAACAGACTGCTCATTTGACAATGTGTTCATGAGCAAGTTCTTCCCACAGTTGTATCAAGTGTTCCTGGGCGTCTTGTGTTTCATCATGATCGGCATCCTCGTCGTACTCTACACCCTCATCGTTTTCCAGATCATTAGACAAAAACGTCGAGGACGGGCGCTTGGATCTCACTCAGGAACCCTCGGTTCTCGTCTCGACCTCACAGAAGACACGAAACACAAACCGCCCGGTGGCTTAAGAAAGGGTTCCAAAGCAATCAGCGCCAGTACTCTTAGTATTGGCGGAGAGGTAAGATCCGCGACGCTGGAGCGGAAACAGGCGAAACACGTTAAAAGGTCGCAAACAACTATCATGATGTTGCTGGTGACCGTTGCTTTCATCGTGTCCTATATCCCCCACGTGGTCCTCCAAATGACCCGCAGGCTAGACAGCGGATTTGAGGCCAGGGTCCACTGCAACAAGTCGGCGTCCGCCGCTTATAAGCTCTTCCTTCGGTCCTTCTTCCTCAACAGCGCCATCAACCCCATCATTTACGGCTTCTACAACACCAGGTTCAGGAGGGAGAGCAAGAGACTGCTTGTGGGATTGCTTCACATTAGAAACGACAAGGTGCAAGTGAGCACAGCGTCAAGTGACTGAGTACAATCGGTTTGCTGTGTTCGGGATTACACGTCTAATTGACATGGACTAAAGGTTAACAGAAAGAAGCTGTTATAGGTGTCTGTTTACCCAGCAGACTATTAACCTTCTAGCGCTTCACGGGCAGCTTGGTTTATCCGGGGTAGTAATATCCACCATGTTGTATGCGCTGAGAGCATATCTCTGCGCCGTGGAGTTCTGTGCGTAATATGGTACAGCTGCAAATGGGTACCTTGTGAGGAGTCTGCGTGATAACTCGTTGCGCCTAAGAGACTGCGTGAATACTCCCCAGGTAGCTGAGATGGTTTTAATGAATGGCAGGAAAAAAGACATCCGTTGATCAAGGGAACACTCCAGCGCCTTGAGTATGTACTAGTTGCGTGGATATGTGCGCGATATAAATAACATGTAAAACTAATATATGTGTCCAGTTATTATTCTACTACTATAGGGAAGGCATCTTGGGTATTTATCATGCTAGAATGAAGATTAATTGATGTGAATATATTTTCAAACCCACATTACACGCAACCGGTAACATTCTTTAGTTTAACGTGTGCATTCTTTTTATGGCTGTCACGATACAGGTGCCTTACGTTATCGCGATACCGAGGTCAGGATACGATACGTATCTCGATACCGAGGTCAGGATACGATACTGAGGTCTCGATACGATACGTATCGCGATACTGCATTTAGGACATTTGCGACATTACCTGGATACGATAGTTCACCAGTCCGTATAAGAAAACTACAAGAGCCAAATGTGCTTGCCAACATTTTAGATTTTAAGATTACAAATCTTACACAGTTTATACTTCAATGTTTTCAATGAACTCCACGCAGCCAATACAGTAAAACCTTAACAGTGGTCATTGGCCCTAGAATGTTACGTACGACTAAGACAGGGGTTCAAATTTATTATGAAAAGCCACTTGCCACAGGGCAAGTGACTTTAAGAAAGTAACTTGTCCTGACTAATTTTCCACTTGCCCTGATTTTATGACATAATTATGATGATGTAATTATGAAAGAAAAAATTAACATGGTATTTGATGTTAATGTTTACTGGACTATTTATTGAAAAGTGATAAATAGCAAAGAAAGATAACTCTACTTAATTATCATTACGAAATTTAATAGCTAAATTTTGAGCAGATATGAAATTAAATCAAAGTTTATTTGCAGTTTGAAACCATAAGTGAAAATTATCTAGTAGCCCACGGACAAGTAAGATACCATTATTTGATTGCCCGAAATGAAAACTGACTTGTCCCGGGCGTCGGGCGATGGGATTTTTGAACCCCTGCTAAGAGTTTGAAAGTCTCAATGCAGATGAACTACAATCGTCAACCATTTTCTCTTGTGATCAGTTTTTGACATTCAGATACAGACCTCCTATAATTACAGGGTTTCAAATGACTGGGGTCGAGTCGTTATTTTGCTTAAACTTGAGCGCTCCCCAGCTTCACAGTAAACTGAAAACTGAAAATATTTCCAAACAGGAGACTTAAATTTCCAAGGCGGGTTCTCAAGCTCGGTCTCACCAAAATCCACCATGCTGCTTCTTGTGCCTCGCGTTCGTCATAGACCAAACAGATTATAAACACACCTTGACAGCAGTGTTTATATGATACATTGGTGCAACATCAAAATAATAACCCATATACGTCTCGATACTGAAACAAATGAATCGTGTACACGATCACCAACATCAACAACACCAGCCTAAACACCACCAACATCAACATCACCAACATCAACACCACCAACATCAACATCACCAACATCTACATCACCAACATCTACACCATCAGCATCAACACCATCAGCATCAACACCATCAACATCAACACCACCAACGTCAACACCAGCAACATCTACATTCAACACCATCAGCATCAACACCACCAACATCAACACGTCTTCTCCTGTAAGTATGTACGATCTGAGTATGTGTATGTGCGTGCGTGCACGCGTGTGTGAGAGCATATCCTGAAGACGTCATGTATTAATACAAGAAATAAGGACATAAACTGTTTATTATCTTCCTGTTTTGCGGTAGGCGTTTATCCCGAATCCGATGTTAAATGCAAGACGCCTAATAAACTGGCAGCGGCACGGGTTATCACGTGCCTATACACACAATGCGGACATTATGTGAACTTGGGTTGTTATTGTCAGATATATCCTCTTAGTCACATACCGTCACGATACAATCTTGACCCGGAGGCAGCCGAGTGCAGTCCCAGGACAGGAGGCAGTCTGACACATAGTTATATTAACAAGTCACCCTTCATCCACACTAAATGGAGGCAGGCCATGTATGATGAGATGTCGTCAGAGAGGACATGGTGAGATGTGGTCAGAGCGTACATGGTGAGATGTGGTCAGAGTATACATGGTGAGATCTGTTCAAAGTGTGCATGGTGAGATGTGGTCAGAGAGTACATGGTGAGATGTGGTCAGAGCGTACATGGTGAGATGTGGTCAGAGTATACATGGTGAGATCTGTTCAAAGTGTGCATGGTGAGACGTGGTCAGAGAGTACATGGTGAGATGTCGTCAGAGAGTACATGGTTAGATGTGATCAGACAGTACATGGTGGGATGTGTTCAGAGAGTACATGGTGAGATGTCGTCAGAGAGTATATGGTGATATGTCAGAGAGTACACGGTGAGATGTCGTCAGAGAGTACATGGTGAGATGTGGTCAGAGCGTACATGGTGAGATGTGGTCAGAGTATACATGGTGAGATCTGTTCAAAGTGTGCATGGTGAAATGTGGTCAGAGAGTACATGGTGAGATGTGATCAGACAGTACATGGTGAGATGTGTTCAGAGAGTACATGGTGAGATCTGTTCAAAGTGTGCATGGTGAGATGTGGTCAGAGAGTACATGGTTAGATGTGATCAGACAGTACATGGTGAGATGTGTTCAGAGAGTACATGGTGAGATGTCGTCAGAGAGTACATGGTGAGATGTCGTCAGAGAGTACATAGTGAGACGTGGTCAGAGTGTACATTGTGAGATGTCATCAGAGAGTACACGGTGAGATGTGGTCAGAGCGTACATGGCGAGATGTGGTCAGAAAATACATGGTTAGATATGATCAGAGAGCACATGGTGAAATGTGGTCAGAGAGAACATGGTAAGATGTGGTCAGAGTATGCATGGTGAGATGTGGTCAGAGTGTACATGGTGAAATGTGATCAGAGCGTACGTGGTGAGATGTGCATGAAGCGGGCATGGTTAGATGTGGTCAGAGTGTCCATGGTGACATGTGGTCAGAGTGTACATGGTGAGATGTGGTGAGAGAGTATATGGTGACATGTGATCAGAGAGTATATGGTGAGATGTGGTCAGAGAGTACATGGTGAGATGTCGTCAGAAAATAAATGGTGAAATGTGGTCAGAGTGTACATGGTGAGATGTGGTCAGAGTGTACATTGTGAGATGTGGTCAGTGAGTACATGGTAAGATGTGGTCAGTGAGTACATGGTAAGATGTGGTCAGAGAATACATGGTGAGATATGATCAGAGAGCACATGGTGAAATGTGGTCAGTGAGTACATGGTAAGATGTGGTCAGAGTATGCATGGTGAGATGTGGTCAGAGTGTACATGGTGAGATGTGATAAAAAGCGTACATGGTGAGATGTGCATAAAGCGGGCATGGTAAGATGTGGTCAGAGTGTACATTGTGAGATGCCGTCAGAGAGTACATGGTGAGATGTGGTCAGAGTGTACATGGTGAGATGTGGTCAGAGTGTACATTGTGAGATGTCGTCAGAGAGTACACGGTGAGATGTGGTCAGAGTGTACATGGTGAGAAGTGGTCAGAGAATACATGGTGAGATGTGGTATGGTGACAAGAGAGTACATGGTGAGATGTGGTTAGAAAGTACAGTGGATGTGGTGAGATGTGAGATGTCAGAGAGTATATGGTGAGATGTGGTTAGAGAGTACATGCTAAGATGTGATCAGAGAGTACATGGTAAGATGTGGTCAGAGTGTACATGGGGAGATGTGGTCAGAGTGTACATGGTGAGATGTGGTCAGAGTGTACATGGTAAGATGTAACCAGAGTGTACATGGTAAGATGTGGTTAGAGTGTACATGGTGAGATGTGGTCAGAGAGTACATGGTGAGATGTGATCAGAGTGTACATGGGGATATGTGGTCAGAGTGTACATGGTAAGATGTGGTCAGAGTGCGCATGGTAAGATGTGGTCAGAGAGTACATGGTGAGATGTGGTCAGAGTGTACATGGTGAGATGTGGTCAGAGTGTACATGGTAAGATGTGGTTAGAGTGTACATGGTGAGATGTGGTCAGAGAGTATATGGTGAGATGTGGTTAGAGAGTACATGGTAAGATGTGGACAGAGAGTACATGATGAGATGTGGTCAGAGAGTACATGGTTAGATATGATCAGAGTGTGTATTCTGAGATGAGTTCAGAGTGGGTATGGTGAGATGTGATCGGAGAGTACATGGTGAGATTTGGTCAGACAGTACATGGTGAGATGTTGTCAGAGAGTACATGATGAGATGTGATCAGAGAGTACATGGTGAGATGTGGTCAGAGTGTACATGGTGAGATGTGATCAGAGTGTACATGGGGATATGTGGTCAGAGTGTACATGGTGAGATGTGGTCAGAGAGTACATGGTGAGATGTGGTCAGAGAGTACATGGTGAGATGTGGTCAGAGTGTACATGGTGAGATGTGGTCAGAGTATGCATGGTGAGATGTGGTCAGAGAGTACATGGTGAGATGTGATCAGAGAGTACATGGTGAGATGTGGTCAGAGTGTACATGGTGAGATGTGGTCAGAGTGTACATGGTGAGATGTGGTCAGAGAGTACATGGTAAGATGTGGTCAGAGAGTGTACATGGTGAGATGTGGTCAGAGTGTACATGGTGAGATGTGGTCAGAGAGTACATGGTGAGATGTGATCAGAGTGTACATGGTGAGATGTGGTCAGAGTGTACATGGTGTGAGATGATGGTCAGAGAGTACATGGTGAGATGTGGTCAGAGAGTACATGGTGAGATGTGGTCAGAGTGTACATGGTGAGATGTGGTCAGAGTGTACATGGTGAGATGTGGTCAGAGAGAGTATACATGGTGAGATGTGGTCAGAGAGTATATGGTGAGATGTGGTTAGAGAGATTACATGGTAAGATGTGGTCAGAGAGTACATGATGAGATGTGGTCAGAGAGTACATGGTTAGATATGATCAGAGTGTGTATTCTGAGATGAGTTCAGAGTGGGTATGGTGAGATGTGATCAGAGAGTACATGGTGAGATGTGGTCAGAGAGTACATGGTGAGATGTTGTCAAAGAGTACATGATGAGATGTGATCAGAGAGTACATGGTGAGATATGATCAGAGAGTGTATTCTGAGATGAGT